AGGGGTTTGGATCCCGGGCGCGCACCAACGCACGGCTTCTCCAGCCATGCTGAGGCCACATCCCACATACTGCAACTAGAAGGATGTGCAGCTATGACATGCAACTATCTACTGGGGCTTTGGGGGGAAAATAAATAAATAAATCTTTGAAAAAAAAAAAAAAGAAGGTAGCACAGAGTGACTAGTGGTTAAGAACTCAGCCTCTGGAGATGCGAATAATCTTGGCTCTCCGGCTTACCAGTTGTATGACCTTGATAGGACCTACATCATAGGGTCATTGTGAGAATTAAATGAGATTCTGCTTTAACATAATGCCTTATGTGCTCAATAAATGAGACTTCTTTTCTTTATTGTTATTTTAAACTTCATTTCTTCTCTGAAAAGCTGAAGAGCTTATGTAGAAGAACTCCTAGCACCCTGGGGACCAGGATTTGGCACAACCTTGGACAATTAATAAAGGAGGGGAGGGAGGCCATCATATCTTGCCTGAACTACTCAACCATTCCCCATTCCAAACACTTTCCCACATCCCATCCAGCCCTCACTCTGCCACTCGAGTTACCATCATCCTAACCGGCAAGTGAATTCATATCACTCCTATCTCCCCTACACCTACCAAAAAGTCCAAATTTTCCAGCAAGGCATTCAAGGCCCACCACATTCTCATCCCAACCCACCTTTCTAATTTCATCTCCCAAAATATCCCTCCACGCTAAACCCGTCATTATTTCTCTACGAAGCCTTTTGTGAGCCAATCACTTAGAATTCATTGCTCCTTCCTCTCTGGTCTTATTATGCACTGCCTTTATCTCTAATGATCTGGTCCTATATCTGCCTCTTGCACTAGAGGCAAAGGGCAGAGATTGCTAATAAATAAATAAGTCTGCTAATACATAAATAAGTGAATGAATGAAAGAGTGAATTTTCCCCCAGTCTATTCTCAACATGGAAACTTAAGTCCAACTATGCATTCCTCTGTTCTAAACTCTCCAAGGGCTCCCACCTCACTCAGATGAAGAGCCAAGGCCTTGGCAGGGCCTACAAGGCTCTACCTGATCTGACTCCCAATTCCCTCCAGGGTCTCAGGCCTTTCCACTTTCCCCCTTGCTCCCTCCACTCCAATGGCACGGACCTCCTTGCTATTCCTCAAACATGCCAGGCACAGTCTGGCCTCAGAGCTTTTGCCCTTGCTGTGCTTTCTGCCTAAAATAGGAGTTGGCAAGGTATTTCTGTAAAGAGCCATACAGTAGATATTACTGACTTTGCAGGCTACAATGTCTCTGTCGAAAGGACTCAGCTCTGCATTGTAGCAAGGCAAATAGCAGCCACACATGATATGTAAAGTAGTGGGTGTGGCCTGATCTAGCCCGAAAGCTACAGTTTGCCAAACTCTGGCTTAGCACACAGTAGGTGCTCCAAAAGTATGTACTGAATGAATGAATCCATGAATGGATAAACTATACCCCATGAGGCCTGTGCAGAGCTAGTAACAGCACAGGTCCCCAGGTGAGAATCACATACCCAGGGCTGGCAATTCAATAGCCACCCTCCCCCAGGCACCCCCAGCACCACCTCCCAGCCCTTGCCTCCTCTAAACCCCATCCTCCTGGTGCACCATCCTCCAGGCCTGTCCCTGTAGGCTATGGCGCCACCCCTAGTCTTAAGACCACCTCTGGGTGGGGAAGCAGCAGCAAAACAGACATAACTCCCCAGACCAGGTTTTCATGCAAATATCCTCAGTAATAAAAGAGGTGGAAATTGAGAAACATAAAATAGATGATATAGGAGCCAAACTGTGTCTAAATAGACTGGAGCCAGAGTTTTCCATAAGGTGTCAGTGAGTCTTTAACATGCAAATGAGTTGCTTCCCTCCGGGTATTTTAAAAGACCCTGTCAGCCGTGAAATATGTCTGTCGATGAAAAACACCTTTCGTTATTAAATTCTTTGCTAATGAATCACCTGCCCAGTTCTGTTTACTTGTCTTTTTGACTTTCACCTGAGTTACCTTTCATACCAGCACACACTTTGGGGAGAGGGGGTGTGTCTGAGGCCACCAAGACCCTAAAACCTAATAATTAGGTAATAATGTTAGCAATAACTAACTGTTACAAAGCCCTTTGCACTCATCATCTCATTAGACAGTCCACACAACCCAGTGAAGTGAGCAAATACTATTATCATCCCCAGGTATAAATGAGGAAACCAAGGAGCAGAGAAGCTGAGTGATTTGCCCCAGGTGGCTCAGACAGTAAATGTAGAATAAGAGCTTGGACCCTTCTCTTTATGGCACATGACCTCCTTGAGACGGACTCACAGACCTCCATTCACCAATGTCTCATTCACAAGTAACTGCATCAGTCACTGTGGGCAGAAGCCAGATTTTGGACCCTTTACCTCCCCCACCAGATAGTGCCAGGCATGTAGAAGATGCTGCTTGGAGCCCTGGAAATCAACAGCATGTTGCAAGATCAACCAGTGCACCTCACTAGAAATAACTGATTCCAGTCTATGAAACATTTAAGAGAGTGGTGTTATTGTCAAATCAATGTTAAGAGTGAAATCCATCTCACCAGACCAGAGGAAACACCTCAGTGGGTCATGAAATGGGACAACAGGAGAGGCTGGAAAGTTCTACAAATGTGAAGTTGAAGGTCAAAAGAAACTTCCCTGCCCTGGACAGAACTAAATGGGGGACCAAGCACTTACTGTTCACAGGGGCCAATAGTAGCTAGGTCTTCTCAGTTACCACCCATCGGCAGCCTCCTCCCCATGCCACATTCCAGGACAATAAGCCTAGAATCATATCTCCCGGCTTGGTGCACAGATGAGAATGGCCACAGAGGAAAGGAATTAGGGCTCTAATTCCACTAATCCCATAAAGTAACCACAGCCTCCTCCCATTTCCTAGAGAGACGATTAGACAAATGAGCATTATTTCTTCTGGTCTGCTCCCAAGACTGGAAAAGACCCAATACCCTTGGAGAGAGTCATCAGGTTGTCAGGGAAACCTGGTTACTGACGTGGATAAAAAGCAAACACAGTGAATGATACCATCATGTCTCAAGTCTGGAAAGATGCTGAGTCAATGCCTAGGGACCACCCATTCAGCCTGAGCAGCCTTACGGTCTGCCCTGCCCTGCCCTGCAGAGAGCGATGTAGTCCAAATGTAATCATACTCCCTTTCCTAGCATTTGATGCCCAGAAGGTGCTGGAATCAATATTGATTAAATAAAGGAAACTCTGACTGATGCCAAGGTCCCAGAGTAGACAGGGAAAATAAATCTCACCCAGGCAAGGAACAGAAATTCTCCATGCAGCTCATCCTGGGAAAGAGGAACTCGGGGAAAAGACTGGAAAGCCAAGTGCAAAGAGTGAGCCACAGGTAAGAGGAGAAAAGTGGGTGAGCTCCCAACAGGAGAGGTACAGTGCCAAGTGTGTAAACATCTCGTGTCACTGGCACAGCTACATTCTGCGGTGCATACTATTAAAGCCTCGTTCTACAGATAAGGAAGCCAAGTTTTAGAAAAGGTAAGAAACTCGGCCAGGAAGCTAGTAAGTGATGGAGCCAGAACTTGAATACAAGTGTCTCTGCTCCAACCAGGAGAGCACAGGGTGGACAAGAAGAGGCTTGCTGGGCCCTGAGGTGGGTCACTAGAGTTCTTCTGACAGGGAAATCTAAACCCAGGAGGTTTATGCGGTGAGTTGGGGGGGAGGGAAGCAGGAGGGAATGGATGCCCAAACCAAGCACTATTCTTATCTCATAGATCCCTTGTCTGACAAGAAAATAAGTGTATATCAGAAAGGAATAAAAAGTAAACTCTCCCAGCAGAGGTCAAATCTTACAACCGTGAGGGCTGAGGGCTGTTGAGAAATGGCCAAGCAAATAGTAACACAATTAGACAGAATATGATGTAACCCAGGAAAAGCGACACAAGTGTAGACGACATGAAAATCTGTATATAAAGTAATGTGGGGGGAATTAACAGCATACAAAGTAATACGCCCATGTTTACTACAACAACAAAAGTTTACTATAACAAGGACAGAAAGGCCCAGGTGTGAAGAGTTGGTGCTTTAAGTTCACAGAATTTTTTCCCATAAAACAGTAGTACTCAAAAGTATGGCCCCAGACCAGTAGTATTCTCATCTCCTAGGAGCATGTTAGAAATGCAAATTCTTGCCTCCCACCCCAGACCTACTGAATCAGAAATTTTGGGGATGGGGTCCAGCATCTTGTATTGTAACAAGCCCTCCAGGTGATTGTGATGCACGCTGAAGTTTGAGAACTACTGCAAAAAGAAAATGCTTAAAGAAAACGTGTGAAGACACAGATCAAGTCTAATTCACTTTCAGATATTTCTTGAGCACCTAGTAAATGCCAAGCATCATGGAGGTGATCAATAAATACTTGTCGAATTGAATGACTTCCTAGTTAGCGGAAAGTAAATGCCACTTAAACCTGGGGAGAGAGCTGTACCAGGTGTCTTCTAAAGGCTGCTCCCCATACACGAACCGTCATCAGCACACACGGCCCTGCAAGGGGCTGGAGGTAAGGGGGCGCTCTGGGGCACACCGCACGTCCAGGCGGACGGCCGGGATACCTGCGTCGCCCCCTGATCTTGCCCACACCACGCTCCAGCCCCAGCCGCCTGCGCCTCGGAGGCCACCTGGGGTGAGCCACCTGCTGCCCTCCTCCAGCTCTGGCTCTACCGGCACGCAAGACTGCGCCACCGAAGTAGCCAGTCCACGCTTCCGCCCACAAGCCAGGCTGGAGAGTCACCGCAGAGGGGCGGGGCACTGCCCGTCACCGAACCACGTGGCCGCGCGCCGGGCTCCGGTGACAAGGTCACCGGCTCACCGGCGAGGGGGCTTCCCTCCCGGCGGCCCGAGCGGAGCCGGGCGCCCGGCGCTTCCACACTGACTCCCCCGCGCTCCCCGCGCCCTGCGGCCCTGCATGCCCGGGCTCTGCGCTGGCCTCCGAGGGGCTGCTCCTACTCACCCCGAGGGAAGCAGAGCCGCGGCGCCAGGCTTCCTGCCGCAGCCGAGTGCCCGGGGCTCGCAACTTTGCTCTCCGCCACCCTCTGCGCCTAGTTGAGCCGAGGCGCCGCGCGGCCTGCCGGGACTTGTAGTTCTTCTTGGTTCCCGAACCCGCGGGGCCACCGGCCGAAGAACCGCCGAGGTCCCCCTGGGCAGCTCCACCGCGGGAGGCAGAGGGGTCACAGACACTTTACCCATCAGATGGCCTGTTTCTTTGCTCGGGCTGCAGACAGAATATCCCTGAAAACTTGTTTTCAAGAGGCTCTCCAAGAGGTCATAGATTCGTGTTCAGTGGAGGATAGAGTTGTGGGTTTGTGTATTTTAAATAATGTATTAATTAGGGCAAGTAAGCAAGGAAGAAATTTGCTGACAGTTGCTGAATAGTAAGAATGTGCTGATTAATCTTAGTTATCTTTGGCCCGCATTCATTCATGCATTGACCTTTATTTATCGACTGTTTACTTATAAGATGTTCTTGGGCGATATTCATCATTCATTCATTCATTCTACAAACATCTCTAACTACTTTGTGAGGGAACAGAGATGGGGTGGGGGATTCATCTATCAATTCAACACAATTCAAATCAAATTTCCTACAGGATTTTTTTCTGGACCTTCACAAACTAATCTAAAATTTATATGCAAAAACAAAGGGCAAAGCATAGCCAAAACACTCTTGAAGAAGAGTCACATGTTTCAAGGACTTGCTCTTCCGTATATCGACATTTATTATAAAGCTGTAAAAATTAAGACCACGTGGTATTAGTATAGGGATGGGCAGAAGGGAAAAGTGAAACAGCCTAGAGAGCTCAGAGACAGATTCAGGCATTCGTGCCATCTTCATGTATGACAGAGCTGGCATTATAGATCAAGGGGGAAACATAGATTATTCAAGTATATGAGCCGCAACAACTGGTTATCTCTTGGATGCCTAACTCACCCCATACACAAAAACTAATTCCAGGTAGATTAAAGATGTTAAAAGGAAAACGCAAACTCAGAACTTTTGAAAAAAAAGTAAAGGAAAACATCCTAGGAACTCAGGGTAGGCTAACATCCAATGCCAATCATCCTCTTTTTTGCTGAGGAAGACCGGCCCGGGCCTACCATCCGTGCCCATCTTCCTCTACTTTATATGGGACGCCGCCACAGCATGGCTTAACAAGCTGTGCGTCGGTGCGCGCCCGGGATCCAAACGGGCGAACCCCGGGCCGTGGCAGCGGAGCACGTGCACCCAACCGCTTGCGACACCGGGCCGTCCCCAGCTAATAAATATTATATATATTCATATATATGCTATTATTTATCAAGCAATTATATTGCCAGATGCTAGTCTAAGTGCTTTAAGTATATTTTCTCATATAACCCTCATGATATATGAGATAGATATCATTATTATCCCCATTTTATAGTTGAGCAAACTAAGGCACAGAGAGTTAAGTAACTAACTCGTCCAAGATCACTCTGTAAGGGCAGAGCTGGAATTCTGCCCCATGAGTCTGACTCCAGAGCCCACGTTCTGGAATTGGCAGCCCGCTCTGATCATAGATGTATTAGAAAGGGAATCATTTGAGGCAAATGTCTGAGGCCAAAGTAAACCACGCCCTGAGGCCTTTGAGCAGTTTTAACAGGAAGTAGGCAAACTGGCTCAGCAGTAATCCTTTATTACCAACCATTAATTGACCACAGCTCTCAAATTAAGAGGCAGGATGGACTAGGAGTTAGGGAGTTGGGTTCCAGTCCTGCCTGGCTACTAACTGGCTGCTATCCTTGGACCTTGGACCAGTTGTTTTCCCTCTCTGGGACTCAGAATCCTCTTTTGTAAAGTCGTAAAGGGATTTTATGGGCAAAACTTGAAAGGCTCTTCTAACGTTCACATCCGTGATCCTTTGAGTCCCATGATCCTTTGAGTCTGTAAGCAATGTCCTACCTCCTACAGACTGACATGGAGTCACGCTTGAGTAAGCCCCTGTGCTGAGTATCCTCTGCATCCTCCCCAAGGTCCTCTCTCTATCTTTCTCTGCCCTGCCCTGTGCCTAGGAGGCTGACTAGCACAGGCTTCATCCCCAGGGCTCCCCTGCCCTCTGTCTTCTGGTTGGGTTTGGCCAGTGGTAAGCCACTGGGATGGGAAGGCCAAATGAGAGAGAGGCCCAGATGTCTGTACACACACACACACACACACACACACACACACACACCCCTTCCTGTGTTCTGGCAGAGGCTGGCTTCCTCTGCTGCCACAGCTCCTGATGGGGCACTTCCGCGCTAGCCCCAGCTCTCGTTGGGCTACAGGAACACCATTCCCACACCATGCCCCTTTAGATGTAGGGGTGGTGATGGCTTCCTGCTGTGCTAATGCCCAGCTCCTTCCCCTCCACATGTTGGTTCCCTTAACTGTCCATGCCTCCTCTAACCAGTCCATTCATTCAACACTATGCATTTAAACTCTTGAATGTGCCATCTATTTTCCATAGGACTGTGACTGCTACAGCCCCCTTGGTGGTGAGGTGGCTTTCCTCCTGGTCATTGCTACCATGACATTGGAAATCTCTCCACATGTTATGAACCAACACAGGAATCCCAGTCCTCCTTTCAAAGTCCTGCAGGCCTCCCCACCAAGCCCTACCACTAGCAGGGGACCTAGAAATAGACACTTTGAGGGTGAGGGAGCAGGATTCCCCAATTCTCCCATAGTGGTAGGAGCATCAACACCAATGTTCTGTTAGCCCAAGTCTCTAAAAACTCTCAGGCTCTTTTGAAAGAGGCAACATGGAGTCCAACAGACCTGGGTTTGAGTCCTGGCTTAAATTCACTGGGTTTGAATCCTGGCTCAGCTGCCTACTGACTGTGAGGGCTTCCAGTGCCTCAGATTCCTCATCTCTGAATTGGGAATAACAATATCGGCCTCTCAGGCTCTCCTGTAAGGATCAAATAAGACAACCTTTGCGAGGGCTTAATACAATGCCTGGCACATCCTAAATAGATGCTCAGTAAATGTTAATTCCCTTCTTTATTAGGCAACTGAGAGGAGGAGAGGGGAAGCCACGAGAACAATTAGATGAGGTGAAGTGGCTTCTGCAGAAATACCATACCACCTCCTTCAGTTCTCCAGTGGAACAGCCAGGGGCTGGTATGGCAATGGACCAAGGCAGAAAAAAAAAAGAAAAGAACAACTCATCAGAAACTAGGCTTTTGTCAAAAAAAAAACAATGCTCAAACCCAACTGCAGCAGGCAATTAGGGAACAATAGCTAAATACTTTCTATAATTAGAGAGAGAAACCATCGCAAGTGATCAGAGCGCCTTTGTCTGCACTGACCCTCAATACCCAGAGAAGATCTTGGCTCACATGAGATGGAGACTGGGGATCTTTGTGTCTTTTTTAGTTTTCTTGAGAAATTAAATCTCACACCACCCTTCTGTTGCCAAGAAAGGAGAGCAGAGGAGGCAGCGTGGACCCTCTCATCAGAAAAGAAAGGAAATTGGAAATGTGCCTCATGTCAAGGGCTAATTCAATCCTGAAGGAGGAAAGGGTCTTACAGCTTCCCCTGAGAGCTATGCCACCCTGGTCCTACTCTGCCGGATGGGGAGTGAGTGGGTTAATGGGGAAGGGGGTGGGTTGGCACTTCTGTAGGAAGAGGCACTTCTGTAGGAAGAGGGATTTGAAATCCAACTAGCACATTCCTTTTGCTAAAATCTGAGAAGGAGCAAATCCTTATCTTCAACAATGGATATTCCAGACAAAAGCAAAGGAGAGGATATTCCCATAAACATTAGTGCTAGGGAATTGCTTTCTTGGTCTTGACAGAAGGACCAAACTAGCTTCCTCGCCCCAAATCTCTATGCCTGCCCAGGCACTGCTATTCTCCACGGCCCCCAGGTTCCAAACCCCGGCCATCCTTTTCTCTTCATTCTCCTCAGTCCCTCATCGCTAACTCAGCCTATTGACACTTCCTTCTATCTATCCTTCCCATCTTGCCCTTCCTCCCCATTCCTACCACCGCAAGCACTGTAAGCTCCCCACGCATCCTATGTCTAGACTTTTCCACAGACTTCCATCTGGTCCCCCTTCCTCCAGACTTCTCCCCCTCAAAGACATTCCACAAAACACCACCTAAAATGCTGCATTCACTATGCCATTCTCTACACTGTGAGACTCTCTACACTGTTTAGACTTTCTAAACTGTGCTACAAGTGCCCCTGGTTCTACACTAGATGATTTTAGGTAGTGTAAATCACAAGGTTAGTGTCCCGTGGAGGTCCCCTTACCAGGCCAGTACCCGCATCACTCAACTACTGCTAACAGATCACAGCCGCCCATCCTCCAAAAACTTGACAGGGCTGAAGGGAGCTGCCTTATCAGGAAATATCTGGAAGGTTACGCCCTCACACAGTCCCACATCATGCTTTCAGGAAGGTATTCTCTTTCTTTTCTTTTTTTTGTGAGGAAGATCAGCCCTGAGCTAACATCCGTGCCAATCCTCCTCTTTTTGCTGAGGAAGACCGGCTCTGAGCTAACTTCTATGCCAATCCTCCTCCTTCCCCCCCCCAAAGCCCCAGTAGATAGTTGTACGTCGTAGTTGCACATCCTTCTAGTTGCTGTATGTGGGACGCGGCCTCAGCATGGCTGGAGAAGTGGTGCGTCCGTGCATGCCCGGGGTCCCGAACCCGGGCCGCCAGTAGCGGGGCATGCGCACTTAACCGCTGAGCCACGGGGCCGGCCCAGTATTCTCTTCCTTGAATGCTGAGATGCTACAAACTGTTTCTTTGGGACAAAACAAGATCAGTCTTGGAAAATCTGGAACACCTGCAGTTCAGTTCCATGAGAAGCCATGGAGATTTTGTTGTCTCCCACTCCCTGCCTGGAGGAACAGTTATGGCATCTACTATGATCCAGGTACCGAGCCACTATTAAGCACTAGGCCTTGTTTTGAGGATACTGATATAAATAAGATGATGTTCCTGCCCTGCGGAGAAATCTACAGCCTGGTGGTAGACACAGATTATTTTTTTTTAATTTTACAATCAATTTTAAAAGTGCT